TTCCCTTGTAGATTCAGTACCTACACTTATGGCACAAGTTGTCCAGGCATCGAATTTGAAACTTCAAAATGGCTTCGGACAATGGGTCATGTAGAAGACAATTCATTTCGGTCTTAACCTAGTATTTGATTCCCTAAAATAATCTATTCTTAACTTATTATCGATATTGATAAATGACATTTTAAAGAAAAGTAACATGGGTTCGATAGTTGATTATTGCTAAAAATGCTACGAAACCTTTGAAACCTTAGGAGCAATGATTTATTTATGTTTTACTTATTTATTTTTAATCATTTCTTAATTTTCATTTATGTATTATTAATATTTTTATATTCCTCTAGCCAGCATCGGTGGCACAGAAGAACGCTTTAATATATTAGGCCACAATAAAAGAAATATATCCGAAAAACATTAGTAAACAAAGAAATTCATTCATGCATTTCAACTGGGATTGCAATTCATTCCCGGTTGAGGTAAGGGGTGGACTTTGAAATTGCTTACGCACAAAGACATTCCATTTACAGATACAAGAAGCTGCTGGGATATAAATTTAGTAAATGAATTCACCGAAAATGAAACAATAGAAACTGATGCATTATTGTACAGATAACAATGCAGTAATTCTCAAAACTGATTCTCCTCTAATTCATGGATACGTAGTTTGAAGACATTTCTGAAGCCGGCAATGCACATGTCATGTTTCACGCCCCCGCTTTAGGAGACGCGGGAGATGTGTTCTAGCTCTATATTGTGGGGGAATTGGAGTGGGGGTTATACATAGTTTACTTTTGGGCTCGTGTGAACATAATTTCCCACTTGCAGTTCAACTCTGGTATTGGGAGCAGGGGTCATTGCTATGTTGAACTTTACCTGCAGTGCGGGGCACGTAGTTTCAGACAAATGGTTTCTAGTGTCAAGCACTTAGATCTTTATGTGATACCTTGTATTTAAAGTGTTGCGATATTATTGAGTTGCATCACAGGGAGTATTGGTTCTTTTTAATTCTGTCTAGTCTCCTATCTATGTATAAGCTGTTTCGTGTAATGGATTTTCGTTTCATGCAAATAGTTATATATTCATTTTCGAATTTCATTGACGCGTAAGACAGAAGAAAGTTTTCATTTCGGGGAATTCCAGATGCAAAAGTTATACAGTTGAAAAAGGATTTTATAACCCATGCATAAATACCTTGGATTTTAAACTATTCGATTTCTGTGTAGCTATCGATATTTTCGATCAAACAGCTTGGTACAAAACAGTCAATAAATACCTAACTCCACCCACCTAACTACGTGAAGAATATTTTCATAATGGAACACTCATTCTGCTTTATCACTTCACTTTTGTCCAAATAATTTCATGTGATGAAATGTGCGAGCCATTTTACAGGGTGCTGCACATGAAAAGCCGAAATTTCACGTGGTGGTGCAACTACCTAGATGCTTTCTCGTAGTACGTTGAAATATTAGTATTACACGAACGTCATAACTGCACGTAAAGTTCTATATTGATTTATTTTTCTTGGCAATTTTCTGTCCGTAGTTCCAATTATAATAACCACATGAGCAAAAAATTTCTCTTTGAGGCTTTGCGGCTTTGAATGCGCAGAAGCGTTGCCAGCTCAAGAGTAGTCAGTAGTCTCGTATATTCTGTGGTCAGCTGATCTAGTGAAACTTGCACAATGAGGTGGATGTACAAGGAAGAGAATCCTTTTGAGAAGCGGAAGGCCGAAGGAGAAAAAATAAGAAAGAAATATCCTGAGCGTGTACCTGTGAGTATACTACGCACATTTTTTTCTATTTATTGTTAAAACCTTCGTTGCCTCGCATTTATTGGTTGAAATTTCGATCAAGTGGTACAGTTTCAATAGTTGCGTCATGAATAATTGTTTACATTCATCTTGGCTTAGCAACTTTACGCGGTTACGGTGTTTCTTTATCTTTTGATAGAGAGAATATAGAAAAAACAATCACTTCTTGTTAGACTTGTTTCGACACCATCATAAGAATTGAGTTCATGAATAATCATTAATGCACAATGTTACAAATTGCTTATAGGTACTTTATTCCAATGCCATCCACACAAGACATTGATGACACGAATTTTTTATTTTCATCTCATAGACTGATAGATGCTTAGAGCCAATGGTCTGAACTCTGGAGGCCAAGCTAGCATAGAAACTGTTTCTTTACAGCTTACACTTGAAATCTCTCTGTCTGAATTGGACAATGGACATTAGACCTCATTTGAGGTCTAATGGCAAAAAATTTTGAGGCAATACTTAATTAGGTAATCAAACTTATTGAAGTATAGAATATAATTTCAGTAATTTATATTTGGATAGTTATTGAAAATTTTAAAATTTGAATGAACATTACTGTCATTAGAATTTTCATTGACTTTCTTGGCAACTTAGACATTAGCAATATTGAATATAATAAACTTTTATTCTGGAATACTGTTAAAGAGTAACAAGTGTAAAGTGAATTCTAAACATCCCAGGGGCCGTATTATCAAAACTTCGTAAGTACGCAAAATTGACTTACGAGTGGCATTGCTATGACAACATAATACTAACGGTCTAGTATGGAATATATCTACTTGGCGAGCCGCGACTGAATTTTTCGAGCCGTGGTTTTATGGATTTGCCAGCCGTGATTCCATTTCTATAGCAATGCGGATTGCGGAAGTTGAAAATTTTATGAAATGACATGTTTGCAAAGTGCAAACCGCGATTTTTTAATCAAACAAAAATTTATGACATTCGAGCTGCGAGATTTCATACCTACTGAAATTATATGATATTAGAGCCGCGATATTTCAGACAAAAATAGGACTTTTCCAGACTAGCTAACGGTGGTATTATAAAAACATTTGCGCGGGAAAAAAATTTAGGCTTTTAGCTGAGACTTGCGTACGAAAGTTTTGATAATGACAAAATTAGGGTGTATTTACGTACCACAGAACTTTTTTGTCGTAAGTACAAAAAGTTACAAAGTTTTGATAATCCGGCCCCAGCTCAATTGTGTACTTTTCCTCCTGACCACAGAGAGCTTTACCTTAGGATTTTTTTTTTCATGCAACAAAAAATGCATTCACCTGTTGGAAGTAGGAGTAGCACTAGTCCTTGCTTTTGATGATTTTAACTGGGGTCTGGGGCAACATTTTATGTTATAGTTTTATCAGTATTCAAACAGCAACTTTGTGATTTAATTGTCTTCAGAATTCATTTTCTTTTGGTGCAATTTCATGAACTATGTAATCATAAATTTTATCTAAATTGCCTGAATGCATAAATTGATTTTCTAAGTCTTCTATGTTGTTTGCCTATCTAACCTTTCTTTACAGTAATTGATAGTTTTGCGATAACATGCCACTTGCAAGTTGCAATCCAGCATTGTACATATATGGATTCAATCTTGCAGAAACCAAACTCATGAAAATTTTTTCATTTAATGTGGCGTGAATTAGACAACGTATTGCTTGTTATTTATTAATCTTCATGTATTTTATTATCTGGCTCATTGCTCATTTTTAAGTCTACATTATATGTATAGATCTTATAGTTCCATACTTTGAGTTAGCTGAATAAAAATGTCTTATCTTATTTTTTCTTTATGCATCTTCTTCTGTTTGGCACCATTTTCTACTTAGAGATGTTTGTCCTTTCTTCTAGCAGACCACTACTAATTTTTCTGTATGCAATATTGTACAGGACAGTTTCCTGCTAATAGTTTGTTTGCACTATACCTACCTAAAAACTTGGGCCATTGATGGGGTGACATGGATTGCTGACATATGAGAAAAGTAAACCCTATACACAAAGTTCTTGCCTTAGACAAATTGTTGATGGCTCTTGAAGAGAAGAATGGTCCAAATCACCCTGTCAGTGGTCCAATTCACCCTGTATTACAGTATTGCTTGATTTGTCTCCCAAGGAATGGGGGACCTAATTTTATCTATAATATTGACATAAGTGCTTGATGCTCTTCAGAAAACTTAGTACTTGTGAAGGTTTAGTCCTGTGGTTATTTTTTCTACACAGTGCAAAATCAGTCACTTCATAGAGTTCTGTCTTTTCACAACGTGAATGTTCATTGCTGCAATTTTTTTTCATTTTTAGATTGTTCCAAAGCATTTACCATGCATAGAAATTACCAGTCAGAGTCAAATGAACTCCCTGCTGAGTTGCCAATGGCATCAATGAGCTCCACAACTAGTGAACACCAGCCAGATGTTAACAATGGTGACAACAAGGCATTGTCACAAATTTCTAGCAAATTGGCCACTGCTATGGAAGAATGCAACACACAGGGCAGTGCTGGCTATTTTGTTCAGGGGCATTTTAAATCACACAATCCATTAGTAACTAGGCAAGTTTTGTCTGAAACTATGATGAAGTACGTGCCAAATCATGTTCCAGTGAGTATTGAAAGTATCTATTGCTAAAAACTGTCATGATATGGGTGATTGACTAGTCTTGTATTAATACATCATACATTAACTTCAAGATCTGTTGCTGACTTCATTCCTATCATCTATGAAAGTTAAAATAGCTATCAAATTTATTTGTCTTTGTAAGATCAAAGCTCTTATTCTGCTACACCCATGAGACCTGTACATACCAATTATGTTGTCTTTGGCCATCACATCAATTAATCAGCTATAAATATGATTTAAGCTTCCAAGCTGTGCCTGCCTATCAATGATTTATTCCTATCTAAATCCAATCAGTCACATCACTATTTGCTTGTTGCTATGGTACCAATATTTTTGTGTTTATATTATGTTGTATCATTTAATTATGAAAACATGCCTTTCTTTTATCTGTCTTTCCTGGTGACTTGTGTTTCAGTTCCTTGTTATGTGTGTTTCCTTATGGGTTTTCATTATCTTCTTTGGATGTCCAATGCTTACTCAAAATCTGCAAGTGATGCTTAGCCTACACTCGATAGGACATATTTTTAACAAAAATATTTTTACATCAAATAATTTGTCTATTTTTCTTTTTTTCCCAAAGTAACCTGAAATGTACTCCCAAGCAAAAATGAATTCAGAGAATAGTTACCCGTACAATAACTACCCAGGATTGCAATGTGAGCCTGAACATAGGTATTTCAGTCAAGAGAGGTCTCAATCATTGCCATTTCAACAACAGCATCCAGATCAACTGGCTACCGATTCTGCAGATGGACAGCACAAAGCATGTCCTTTATTTAGTGAGCTACCCTCATATGGTCCCACTCACTCATTCAAGCATGAGCAGTTACCATATCCTAATGATAAATGGCCTTATCTGTATTCAAAACCAGAAATTCCAAGCAAGCACCCAAAAAATCCTGATGTATCAGCATTCTATCCTCCCAATGAGGGAAAGGAGTCCATTAAACAAGAAGAAACTGATCAAGCCAAGGTAGAAAAAAAATATTTTCATGGAACAGCAGAAACTTTTGATGATATCCTAAAATCGTACTATGGGATGAAAAAAGACCATATACAAGACAGAATATCTTTGCAGAAAAGCAATCATACCCAGACTACTAAAGGAAGTCATTGGGAAGCAAGGTTGTGTGACCAAAATGTTGGAGCGCAATTCCAGGAAGGTCAGAAATATTTCCAACGTAAAGAAGCGGCTGGAGACAGCCATATTGCAAATGTTGGATTTGATTATCTGTGTGGAAATTGTCCTGGGAAGAGAGTTGAAGAACATGACAATTATGAGGCTGAGGAACACTATTATGAAGATGAGGCTGATGAACACTATTATCAAGATGATGCTGATGAACACTATTATCAAGAAGAGGCTGATGAACACTATTATCAAGAAGAGGCTGATGAACACTATTATCAAGATGATGCTGAAGAAGAATATGACCAACATGTGGATGTGGAGGAATGTGTTCAACATGAGGCTGTAGAAGAATGTGTTCAACATGTGGCTGTGGAGGAATGTGTTCATCATGCGGCTGTGGAAGATTGTGTTCAACATGTGGCTGTGGAAGAATGTGTTCAACATGTGGCTGTGGAAGAATGTGTTCAACTTGATGATGTAGCAGAATGTCTTCAACATGTGGCTGTAGGAGAATGTGTTCAACTTGCGGCTGTGGAAGAATGTGTTCAACATGAGGCTGTAGAAGAATGTCTTCAACTTGAGGCTGTGGAAGAATGTGTTCAACTCGAGGCTGTGGAAGAATGTGTTCAACATGAGGCTGTGGAAGAAAATGGCAAGGATAAAATTAAGGCAGGCTTCCAAATTGAGGATGAGCAAGTAAATGCTCAAGCCAATGCACAAAGCGATGCTCAAGAAAAGATTGTTGTTGATGGACTTGCTCATGAAGAACTTCAAACTGATAATGATTTTGGGCTTGGTAAATACTGTGAAATAATTGTTAATAAAGTATCGCAATTTACGAAGACTTTCATCAAACAAGAAGATATTGTGTGTAATGGTGCATTCAAATTAGAATCATCATTTAATGAGAGATTAAAACTCAGCTCAAAGGTTGTGAAGACATACCCTGACAGAGTACCTGTAAGTACAGAAATGATCCAGGACTGGAATTATTTGATTTATTATTTTAATTATTCAACACTCACTTCCACAGTTTCTGGATGTTTTGCATTTCTATAGTATATATAAGAGAAATGTACAGGTAATTATTTCTGACTTTGGAATAGCAATAGTGAAAATTTTAGAAATTTATATAGAACTTGTAAAATCTGTGCCATGAAATTACAACATATTTAAAAATCGTTTGGAAAGGGATTTGCAACTTTTTTGAACAGTTGCAATGTCCAAGTAGGAACAGAACATTTATATACTCATAGTTTTCAACTTTTGTTATGACACCGGTATAGGTACATAATATCATGACAGCATACATACGTAGTTTCTTATCATGTTATTGGATTGTGAGAGCTTTAAGACTGAGTCCAAATCATACTATTAATTTTTTCAAGTTTGGTCTTCTCAGAACCTTAATTTATGTACTGCTTCAGTTTTTTTTATTTTTAGATTGTTCCAAAGCATTTGCCATTCGTTGAAATTACCAGTCTCAGTCAAATGAACTCTGTGCTGAGTTGCCAATTGCATCAATGAGCTCCACAACTAGTAAACACCAGCCAGATGTTATCAATGGTGAAAACAAGGCCTTGCAGTGTTATGGAGTTTTTAATGCAACTGATGAGGTGCGCTCAAATTTCTAGCAAACTGGCCGCTGCTATGAAAAATTGCAATACACACAGCAATTCAGGTTATTTTGTTGAAGTGCATCTTATAGGGTATCTTAACTAATACAATAATACGTACTAGTTATTGAAACTCAACTCCTATGTTGTGATGGCAATCCCTAATAGAATTCATGTAGGTATAGAAGGGTTGCACAATTGTGTCAGCTACACCAGTTAATTGCCACTCCCTACTACACCATCTTTAAATCTGTCATGCCTTCTCACAAAGTTGTTTGAATACAGATTATTGAATTCAGAATATAAATGCATTTAGTTTGTTGGCACTTGCTCTATTTGTGATTTCCAACAGCTGTATGGACATGGATATCTTTATTCTGCATTAGATGTCCAGGTTTTCACAAACGCAAACTTGGTTTGTGTGGTGTTACACATTGTTTGCTGGAGAGTATGTCTGGGTTTGTAGCTTTCTTCTTATCTGTCATCTTCATACTCGCAAGTCAGTTTCTGGCATTTTTTTGGCACATTTCTTCATCTGTGGAAAAAAAGCACTATCATGCTCATCATGTCCGTCTGCTGGCGGACTTGAGAAAATGCGCTCTGTCGAATTTATGAAAAATCTCTTAATGTTTTCTACCTTTGCTGGAACCTTCATTGTCAGTGAGGAATCCACTTCTATATTCCCTAGGGAGTTGAAAAACGGAGAGAAATAACTAATTCTTTGGAGTTCTGTGGCTTTTGCTTGCTCCCTGAGCTTGATGCTCCTTCTGTACCACTGGCTACTTTAGCAGAAACCATGTTCTCTTTCTGCTTCTTTTTTTTCCAGCAATATGTCAGTTTCCCATTGCTTCAATCCACCAATTTACCTTTTACCCCTATAAGATCTTACCTCTGCCCTCTGTCTGCACTTGTATTCCTGTGTCTCAGAAAGTTCTTTAACGGTGTCCTAAAGCTTTGCTCACTCTGCAGGTGATCGTGGAGCGTGCTGCCCGGTCTCGCATTGGTGACCTGGACAAGAAGAAATATCTGGTGCCCAGCGACCTCACCGTTGGTCAGTTTTATTTCCTCATCCGCAAGCGTGTCCACCTTAAGCCTGAAGAAGCTCTCTTCTTCTTTGTCAACAACGTCATACCTCCCACCTCCTCCACCATGGGGGCTCTCTACCAGGTATGTTAGGTATCATCTATATCTGGCGGTCAAGGTACCGTCACCATTCCTTTTTATGAAAAATTTCTTTTGACCTAGGAAGTTCTCGCATAGTATTTTTAATGAAAGGTTTGATGTCGGTAGGTAGTTTTAGTTGCCTGTTATTGAGTGGAGGTTCTTCCTGCCAAATAGTACCTATTTAATGCTCAGTGTCTGTCATGAGGAAACACTGACTGACGTAACCTTAGGTTTGTCAATGCTTCTCTAGCAGATGCAGTTTGGAATGTGACCGTTCAGAATAGAGTATTCGATGTTAGAATGGCAAATATGGTACCGGTACTAGTATTAAAGATGTGAAAAATGGTTGACTTTTAAGGTTCTTGATAAAATTGAAGTAAATCAGGAAAATAATTAATATAAATCAGTTGTGTATCCTTGACAACTAACTAATTAGTATATCAAGATCCTATCGAGTCGGATCAAACAGAAAGTTGAATTCATTGCAAAAAAACTGGGATTCCGAACTGAGATCAAGTAGGTAGATATTACAGAGCAGCCCAAGATTCAGCAATACGTTGTGGCAATCAAGGCGAGGATAATGCATTAGTGAATAGTGTAACTGGATATTAGAAAAATAGAGACAAATCCCGATTTTTTTTTTGCTCAGGAGAATCCTCCACTAAAAAGCATTTGATCAGAATTGTAGCTGCTCAATGATAGTTATTTTAATGTCATTTAATATTCTCAACATTTCAATTTCAGAAATCATTTTTCCTTAATCTTCTTTCCATATTATAATACAATGGTTCCATCTTCCAGTCCATGTTCGAATAAATTTCACTTACAACATCTCATAATATATAATCAACTGTTGGTAAACCTCTCTGAATAAATGGTCATATATATCTACAGGCCAGCGTCGTGTCGATTAATTAGTTGCGTAGCGGAGGTTGTAGCACCTACTACTTCTGTGACTACGATACAAGCGAGATAATTCTTAAATTGCTACAGGCTAAAATATACATACGATAATAACAACTGAATCCTATAAACACACACAAAGATTATAGCACTAGGCTAAAATCTATGACACTAAATTCAAATATCAACATACAAGGCAATTATTGAACCAGGCTAAAACTTGTGACAATAAGAACTAATAATAAATACTAACACACGTAACGATGATATAACTACAATTTCTTGTTCAAAGCTTCAGGTAATTTAAATTTTTATATTCTATTATTGTCAAGCTTTCTCTTGAACTCTGGAAATGAACTCTAATGAACTCTAAATGAACTCTATTTCTCTATGAACTCTGGAAATAGTCTTATTTTGTTCTCATTTGTCCTGACATTACAAGCTGTTCACATACTGACTTGTAACCGACATGTTTGTGTCGTGCAGGAGCACAAGGAGGAGGACAACTTCTTGTACATCGCCTACAGCGACGAGAGTGTTTACGGCGGCTGCTCCTACCTCTATTAGTTATGAATTATAGCTGCGGTACCCATGCTGCTCAGTGACTGGGGTCAACGAGCCAGTCAATGGCTACAGGAAGAACAAGGGCTACGCGGATATATTCTACCAATTATTCCTAACTCGGTGATCCACTCGTACAGCAGCCTACGTCTGACATGCGGCGTTCTATCATCACAATGTTACCAACATCATTACATTATTTTTAACAATACGGTATTTATAATGTTTATCGGCTAATCCAACACCGTTATAAAGGAAACGCCCATCATCTCCGCTCAGCCCATCAAATATAAAATATAATTCGCATTACTTTTATGCTTCCAGTAAATGCGAAATTTTATTCTTTATTTGTCTTCAACAATTCCCACTTGCAAGATAGAGAATTGTTATATTCAATATTGCGTTTTTATAACAGTAAATCAAATGTGGAAAGACGCCAACAATCTTGAGTGCCCGGTTATTGTTCGGAGCTCGTAATATTGAAGCGGAGCTCGAGGCATAGCAGTGGCTTGTGATATATGTTAAGAATGCCGCTTTTCTGCACAGTCTGTGTCTGAGATTCTTTTAGCACTCTAAACTGCTTATTCTGTTACGACTCTAATGCGAAACCTCTGGCGTGATGCTGATATAATTTCTTAGGTAGCTACTCCCAGTATGACAGCTTCTGTGTACTTGGGTTCAGTGTCTCTCAACAAGTGTAACTTGTAACAAATTTCTTTCAAATTGTTTCTCGAAAATGTATCCGGTTTTGTCTTCCTTGTGTATGATGACATGGCTGAATAGATATTCGGTCGCGCGTCTGCCTCCTGTTAAATTCTCTTGCCATTCGGCTGACGTTCTTCCCATTTTTATTGCATTTTCACTCCTGAAAAATATGATAGAGTTTTTCTTTAAGAACAAAGTCATCCAACCTTTGCATTTGACGACTGATTAATCGAATTTATCAAAAACTTGCTGAGAAAGGAAAAAAATCGTGTCTGTCCAGAATATCGTGCTTGGAAAAGGTTTTTAGTTCATATGTAATAGTGAGGGAAAGATCCCACGTACCTTCGTAACCGTGTGGGGTGCTTGAAATCTATATTCAAAAAATGAACCGCCTCTTTATCTTCATTTGCTTGTCAGGAATTTTATTGTACTGTTTAACGAGTCGGCACTTGTCCGACATTAGCTTTAATTCAAAGGACGCAGTGGTAGCCTATCGGGGATTTTTTTATGTTAATGTTACTGCCTTGACTTCTCGGAAATAGCGACTCGCTGATATTCTTAACTCGGTGACTTCATAATAGTTCATTTTGGTCCACAGTTTTGGTCCCGTTACTTCAAATCTCCAAAACCGGCTACTTCTTCAATGTGAATGCGGTTAAATTTTACATGTCGAATATCCCTGTCATGCATTTACAGATTTATTATTCACACGGTGCACCTCGAGGCACGTGTGTAAGGGATAGCTATTCACGGTACGTGTTCACGGATTCGCATAACTCGGCTTAGCGCTCACTGGAGTGAGGTTGGCGGCACTTGTATTCTATTTATAATGCTTGGGTGTAGTCACCACGTAGATCTTATTATTCTTGACATTAAGGATCATATTACATTTAGCAACTTTTTTGTGCATTAGAATAGCAAGGATTCCTTTAGCGTTTCGAGTTCAGTCGTATACCGTACTATTCACTTGTTGCTTCTTATTTCTTCTCCAGCTTTATATTATCATACCATGTTTGTGGATATCGTAGACGTGCAAATAAATGTCGTTCCCGACTACTGAATGTTTCAGATTCATTCTTAGGTCCCGCCTACAGATTTAAGAGATTCGAAGTTTTAAGGTAATTCACTACATTCTCCGATCCATAGTCAAAAGATTTATTATCTATTCGCAATCTCGATTCCTAAATGGTAATTTTGATGTTGCCGCTGGAGTCAAGTCATGCCGGCATTTCCTGCTGATGACACTGCTTTGGCTTGATGCTGCTATGCAAGACTTGGATGTGAACACGCGGCTCTTGAAGACATTGGGGAATCAAAATTATTTTCATGAACTGTGCGCATTCGCGAACATCATAGAAAATGACGCACGTTCATTCAGGCGGATTACTCAGTTTTTCTAAATTATGTTTCCCTAAATTATACCTAAACCAATTCTCTACGCCTCTGTGGGGACTTCACACAATATTGTTCCCTAGAATTGGATGTTCATAATTGAATCTAAATTAATTATTTCGCTAGAGAAGTAATACCAAAGTCAATTAAGTGGCTGTCGAGATTTATTTTTAAAATTTCCCGTAAACTGGATCTGAAAAAAATTGACAATAGTTTCATTGGTTTGTTGAACCAAACTAAATTAAACATTAACAACCAAAGTTGTGTTGTGCTATCTCCATGCATGTGTTGCACACTTATTTCCTTTTTATTTAAGTCAGAGTTGCATATAATTAATTCACTGTCATCACACATTGCATCTCAAGCATGGAACTTCTCGCAAAGCTTGGCGACTGACGAGTGCAAGCTAGAGTTTACCACACCATCTACATCGTTATTTTAAATAACGGATTTCAGGTAGATCATTTGCTCCACAAGAGTTCGAATGTTGAATTCAAGCTAAAGTACTATTAGCCTCGCATACCTGCAGAAATTGTCTTTGTCGAGTCATCTTGACATGTCAATTATTGGGCCAATTACTTTTTTTGTGATATAATTGCTATTATAATATTCGGGAATTTGCGTTTGCTCATGATCTTCGTTCTGGATAACGCTGTCATGGTATCTTGTTTCAATAAATTGACATAGACATACCAGTTGTACTTCATTCCTCTTGCTCTTGACTCGAGCGTTTTGATGAGTTCGGTGGTTGAGAAAAATTGCAGTTGGGAAAAATCTATTTTTAGTGCTGATGGAACATTCTCATTGTAAGTCATTAGTCCTTGAAAATGCTAAATCTTCGATACTATCAGCAAAAAGTACAGTACTAAACATAATTTGTAATTATCGCGGTTATAAATTCTGGCACCTAGAATGCGACAATGTGACTTCTGACGCTTTTCTGTACTTTACGTCGCTTTGTGATCAACTACACTTGGCTACCCGACAAATTTCTCACTCTGGCCTTTCTGAACCTCGTAAAAACGAAGAATTAATACGGACAAAAAATTGAAAAGCCGTTACACTTCTAAGTCATTAGGAGGCTAAAGCAATGAAAACAAACTAACAAACCATAAGACTAAGGTTTAACTGAGCTGTTTATTATGAAATAAAACAAGGAGGTGAACGAATTGCGATGCACCATTACCGAACAGCCCCAGATCGGCAAACAGAAACTTTCTTTTCGAAAAGCTTTAGCACATGCAGGCATGAAATACAATTGAGACGATCTTCAGGCTTGAAACAATCTAGTGTCATTCACAGCCCTGAGAAATATCAATATGAACCATTCCTATACAGCAAAAATTCGAAATATCCGTAAAACTCTACTACTAGCATCATTACTTGTGTACTATATTTTATTACTACAACAAGTCCTGGAAGTGCTTGAGTGCATAGAATAATTAAATTGTTTTTGTCCTATTAGAAACAAAGTGTTGTGATACCCAGATGTGATTTGGATTAACAGCTAACCATAAGTTTCCAGAAATACATTTAATGATACACCGAAGACACGCCACAGCCAAAAATTCGCTTCTATTAGGTACTCCGTGAACATGCCTCGACCACGAGCAATACGGGGAGAGCATTCGTGACCAATCACCAGTAACACCAAAAAATATAACTCAATACCCGCTGCAGTGAGTGACAGAGAGCGCATTTTCTCGTCGACGAAAACGTGAAGTCACGGACGGACAGACAGACGGACATGGTGAGCACAACAGTGCATTTTTCCATAAATGAGAAATTCGCTAAAAAGAACCTCGGAGAATAAAATTTTTCTTGTTTAAATGGAATGTATTATTTATTATTCAAATCTATTTTGTATGTTTTTTGTCTTGATCTGACAATCGGACTTGTGCCGCGCGTCGAGAGTGTCAATTTTTATTGCATTAGAAGGTGCTTTTCTTCTGAGGTTCAAAATTTAGAATTTATGTTGACATGATCTGTAAACTCCAGACCGCAGGATTTGCACGTCAATATTTGATCTGGTCAGAGTTGAAGAGAAAGCGAAAGCTTTGGCGTCTTGTTATTGCATAAGAATATTGGCATAATGTAGCTTGAGGCGAAGAAGGTTCTACGGACGATCTTTGAATGCGATCCGCTCGCTTCTTCGAATAAATTTTAGAGAAACTTTCCCATTGCGTTTTTTTTTGGGGGGGGGGGGGTGTTGAAGAATGGGATAAATTTTAAATCGTGATGCTCAAGTACTATTATCCATTAGATAATATTCAGCAAGCTCTCATTTGGCATCTTGTGAATGGCAAAACAAAGCTTGAAAAATAAAATTTCTCTTTGTAGTAAAACCGAATTATGCAAAAAAGCAGGTATTACAAAACACGACTAAAAAGTTTTTATCTTACGGACCTAGAGAGAAATAGATGCGGCTGCTCCCGTATGGTGAATGAACGCAAAATTAGTATTAGATATTTTGAAGCGTAAAAGTGTTACTGAATAAAGAAAGCAGTCGAATCCCCTGAAATAATGATTGTAATTATAAGTCATTGGATCTGAACTCTCAGGAAATAATTGTAGGATCAAAACTTTCACAAGTCGTGTACGATATGGTGCTGGGAGACTACCTCTTTATCTCTGTATCTCGAACGGCCATGAAAAGGTTCCAATTGAGATAAAACACTGAGTAGTCACATAGCATAGCATAGCATAGCATGAATCGACGCAGATGATTAGGCCGACGAGGGCCTGTCGTCGAGTCTCGTCGTCTTGCATTCAAACAAACTGCTAAAAAATGGCCACGTGGCCACGTCAAGTAAAAAAATTTCGCAACGTGCGCTCCCTAAGAGCGCCCAGTCCGATTGTCCAGTGGTCGCACTCTGGTGGGAGGCTCCTCCACACTGAACATATAACTACGCATAACTGAGTCAAGTCGATTCTTGAAGGCGTTACAATGTATTCAGTAAAAAAGTGAATATATTCTGTACAATTGCGTTGTGCTGGGTGGTAGTCCTTACCAGCGCGTAACTATAACATGAAATGAATAAAATCCTGAAAGTATAGAAAACCTAAATTGCGGAACGGAAAAGTCTAAAAAATATAACTCGGTACTCACTGCAGTGAGTGACAGAGAGCGCATTTTCTCGTCGACGAAAACTTGAGGTCACGGACCGACGGACAGACAGACAGAGAGACGGACGGACATGACTAGCACAATAGTGCATTTTTTCCATAAATGAGAAAATGCGCTAAAAAGAATGGAAAATTCGTGGCTAAGAAATATGAATAAATTTTTACTATTCCCTAACAATGGCGAATAAACGACAAAGTGGAAATATATATTTCATTTCAGATGTAAGCAGCGACCTCCGTCACGCTTTAATTTTGAGACATTAAAGATTGTAACTGAGTAGCTCATTCGGCCTGTTTGAAATCATTTCACTATGGAAATTAGAATGTTCTGGGCTCAATTATCAAGCTCAAATACTGGCTGAAAAATAAAAACATGCGAGCATCAACCAGTCTGCCTCTAAACCATTTCATTTGACTTGGTTTGAATGGATATCATTAATGTTTTCTCGGTTTTTATGATCAAATTGAGATTTAATTTACGTATAAACTGTTCTACTCGCTATGTGTTTAAACAAATAAAAAATATGCTCAGATAACTTTATATATTAAGTTGTGCGACATCATCTATTTTCTAGCCGTCTGCTCTCGCTAGTCCACCGCGGCCAGTCGCGAGATGTGTGTAATTTTCGACAGCGACAAACAAAAGTTTCCGGGCAGTCGCGGGGCATTTCTTTGCTTCTGACACGCGCGTGACAGCAACTTTATGTGGAGAAAGTGGATATAAAGTTCCGTGGTGTCGCACGGTGCAAGTCAGTCGAAACAGACACGTTGTTGCCACCGTTCATTCATGTGCAAGCTGGGGGGGCATTACTGGCGAAATGGTGGGTAGAGGTTATTTCTCATTATATATTGAATAACTGGCATTACCTGCAGAATTTATTAGTGAGTTAAAAGTTATCCTTCCGTAATCTACACAATTTTCTTCGTATATCGGAGCAGTGTTCCCGACTTGTACAATTTATACCAATGCGAAGTAATTATCATTAGTGATAATTATCATTGCTTCAAACTTAATTTTTATATGCATCATCGGTGCAAAAAACATGAGCATAATTTTCGTTCTAAAGTCTGGTTCCCAAACCTTTCCCTAAACAAAGATTTCCGAACCTTTGGGATTTTCAAATCTGTAGCTTTTCTGATTTTCGAACTCTATCATTTAATCCTCCCGGGATTCGATTCCACACGAGTCTACAATTCAACTTAATTTTAATAATTATTTCTTGACATTTCTGACGGATAAAAATTCTAAAACACATTTCAACTTTTTTCTACTAATTTTTCAACAGTCCATGCAAATTTCTCCACAGATGACGCTTCTCCCGAAATATTCTATAGGACAGTTTGTCTTAATAACTTCACTGCTGCTGGGTTCGCTTGGCGATCCTATTTTTTTCTACGGACGCGGAGGACAAGAAATCAACAGGAAAAGGTCTTTCCATCACCCCTTTGGACCCAGATCCCCTCCTCCCCCTCCTAACAGACCACATCCAAACAGAGTGCCTTGCCTTCCCAACTACATTCATAAGACAAAATACATCACAAAAACGGTGAGGAAATTTGAAAATTTATCAATTTTTTTATTAATAATGTTTTTTTTGCAAGTTGTCCACCTAGCAAGTTTTAGTGAGGACATTTTTCATTTCATTACATGTAGCTTTGATTTGAGAGCCGAATCATCATTAATATCTTTCCGGTGCTGTGCTCAGGTTCTAACTTTACTTAATTTAATTTTTTACATTTTTTAAATTCCAAATTTATACTAACGTATAAATTTATTATAAATAAATCGCAATTTCTACGAAGGTATAAATTGCGACATAAAATTTATGTACCACCTTTTTAACGCATTTTCTCGTTTATGGAAAAAATTCACTATTGTGCTCGCCATGTCCGGTTGTCTGTCCGTCTGTCCGTCCGTCTGTCCGTGACCTCAAGTTTTCGTCAACGAAAAAATGCGCTCTCTGTCACTCACTGCAGTGAGTACTGAGTTATATTTTTTCAAATAGTGCGTTATCCTGGATAATATTTCCTTATCGTGTAAAGCATGTTGTAATCAGTGCAAATTTAAAATAGGAACGGACATGAAAGTGAACTTTATAGGATTCTTAGGTTTATTTCACAGTGTGTGATATACGTAATACAATAGTTTTTTTTAAATTTCAGACCTCGCTATACAAAACTATTTACGAAACGGAGTTCTTCCCCAAAACCGTTTTTGACACAAGTTTCAAGACATTTGGCTTTGACTTTGACCCCTCGACGGTGACAACCACGTCCACCAGCACCATAGTTAGCACCCGCGTGGAACCCGTTTACATAACCACCACCGAGTTCGAGTCAACCTCAATCACTTCGACAGTTACTCAACTGATCTACGACACGAAACACCTCATCAATTCCTTGCAACACACCAGATTTACTCCAGAAATTATCACCAAAACTATAATTCAAGACGTGTTCCACACGGACATCGAGACTGTGTTTAGTAGTCGCACAGTTACCGTCACACGCACGGAGACCGCCATCAACACTGATTGTCCTGGTCTGCCATCGTCTTCTGATAGTCAATTTTTGAGCAACACTTTTGATTCGAGGGCCAGGCTCAATAGGGAGCTCCTAAAAGCCAGTCTGTTTACTGCTCCTGTCGCGCCGGACTTGTACGAAGATATTAAACTGTCCAATTCAAGGCCTAAAACTACTTACACTGGACTTCTCCCTCCGAGCAACAACGACGTTTTCAGCAGCTCCTATAGAGATGCAGCAAATTACTTCAACCCTCTTGATCCTTTGCAGCAACAGGTATCGTCCCTCTATGGTAGTTCCAATGTGGGTTCCCAAAGCAACCCCTTCATTCATCCTGATAATAAACTATTCAACAGCTTTGGTACTTCCCATCTCAATGCACAACCTCTCCAAAATTATCTGGTTCATGCAGACTATTCATCTCGGTATCAGAATGTCGTAAAGCCTCCACCCGTCTTACCAGAGAAAGACAAGCCGTTCTACGACCATCCCGACGACTACACACAGTTCACTCAGAAAGACATAAAGTTTACACCCTCCCGCCCTGATCCAACAAGCATATCTGACATCATCGGCCACCCGTCCGATAGCGAAGAAACTCAAGAAGATCATTCATATGGAGTCCGCCAACAAAAACTTCTGTCACAGGGAGATTCTCTTTATGGAATAAAATCCACATACCGTCCCACAGGGCAGAAGCCGAGTTATACACCAGAAGACACTCATTACATCGGTGAAAATCCTGACACGGGAGAAGACATCCACATAAGAGAAATTCTAAAAGGCGTGAAAGGAGGAGAAATCCACGAGGAAATTCATAACCATGGTTTGGTTGAGCCCCGTTTTATTCCTCACTCACCAGAGTTGACCCATTTCAGAACTCAGAACTCAAAGTACTCCAATTCCTACCATGAAGGCCCCCCAGTGTACGTAGTCAGAAATCAAGAGGTACGTAACTCGCACGATTATGATTCAGGTATGAGAGCTCAAAGTTATCTTAAGTCACTTCCTAATGAGGATTCAAAACATATCCATCCTTTAATTCCTCAGGAAATTGAATATAGTGGCCTTGTTAAGTCTTCCTCTGAATCAGCTACCGGTAATCCAAAGGCAGTTGAATTTAGTGGCTTTGCTAAGTCTTCCACTGAATCAGCTATCGTTAATCCAAAGGAAGTTGAATATAGTGGCCTTGCTAGGTCTTCCTCTGCATCCGCTAACGGTCAAATTTATCTCAATCCCTCTTCATCCAAATCAGATTCATCATACCAACACCGCATCATGATTCATCAACCTGCAACTCGCACTTCACGGACTCTCTTCCGGTCAGAAATGACCCGACCAAAGGTAGTTGATGTTGACCAACAGGACCGGTCTCTGCCAGGCAGCTACGGTGCTCACTCCATGCCTATTGTCATCAACCTGAACGGTTCGCAAATCTTAGATATGTTCAAGAACACCAGCGCAAATACGTTCACTCCATCCAAATTATTAAGCCGCGAAATTGACACCAGTGAGGGGATTTTTTCACCGCGAGAAATCAATTCTAATGAACATCATCAGAGTTTATTTGAATTAAATAATGTGAGTGATAAAAGGAAAAGACAATTGGAAACAGACCTGCGATTTGACGGCACAGAAATGAATGACTGGGTGCCTCTAGTGCCGTCTGAAACACATGGGGGACCGAACGCGGTCAATAAATTTTATGCAGGTAACGTGTCTCATAAAATAGAAAAAGGATGAATTGAGTCAGTTAATAAAATAAGCATTAATTTGTACAACACCCTTAGTTATTGAGAATCATAAGGAGCACATATATGCACGATTCTTAAGCACTTTTATACGTGGCTAAATTTGCACATGATTTTTCTTTACATATATTTTTTGGCTGTCATATCAATGGAAAGAATGCATAATAAAGTTTCACTGGAGGCAATTTAACCTTTACGGAAGAACGCTTCGCCATTTGATCAAAACTTGATTCCCAAATAATAAAAGAAAAAATTGAACAAATATTCTATAAAATGCCCACTCAAAAAGGCATACAATTTATTTCCTCATTGCGCTTCAAGCCACAGTTTAATGAATCTATATTACGCTATCTTGCACCTTGTTGATGTAGTAAATTTCCACGCACAACTATGCAGCTAGCGATCGATTTGTTACGTGAATTCTGAGCAGGTATGATGAAGGCGTTTCATGATGTTGATGAAGGCGTTTCATGATGTTGATGAAGGCGTTTCATGAAAGCACATCCAATAATCGATAAAGGCTGTAAGTGAAATCTTGCTTAAGCTGGAACTCCCATTGAAAGTTGGTAAACAAATGTCCTAACAGCTTGTTCTTACTTGCACAGCTTGTGCATCAATTTTTTTTATTTATTTCGTTATTAATTAATGTTAGTTAATAAAATGTTTTGAAATATTTCTAATGTTGTTAAGTTTAAACTGCATTTAGCGTTATTTGCGTTTATTTTGTTTTAACTTTGCCGCGAGAAACTTTTACGTATTTAAAGCTATCTTGAAAATCATGGAAAAATCCTGATATGAACTCGTACGTGGAAATACCGCATATATTATGTATCTGGAAATCAATCACAAAAAACATACAAGTTAAACATTATTGAATTAATCTCTCTGCTAGGAATATGTACAGTAAAATACGAAAATACATGGAAGACTTGCGGTCATTAATTAATGTAAAATCCTCTTAAAAATGAATATGGTTGGCGCGTAATGTGGAATATTGCATATAAAAATATTATATTTTATAAAATTTTCCAAGACATGAATTTGATTGGGTGCAGTAAATGAAATCATTCAAATTTAATTAAGGTTTTTAAATATTTATTCAATCATTTTATATTAAAACAACATAGGGTATCATTAAAATTTTATAATGTGATTCATTTATATATTTTAAAAAATACATTGATAAAACTTGCTCGAGAAATAAAGCGGACGAAGGTTAAGTGCATCAGAAACTGTTCATACATTTTACTTACACTTCTATCTTCATTTCATGCGACATGTCTTAGCTAAAACATATTCATTTATGTACGTGTGACTGACAACTTCACGCCGTTTAATTCATGCTGAATGGGGATGTAGCTCATTTATACGATACCGTGCATTCTACTGTACTTTTGAGTGACTATCGTGAGTTAAAATATTTGCATTATAAATATTCGTTACAGTACGAAAGAATAATGATCATTTTTGTAGTACACCTTCGTGCAAATCGCTCCACGAATTTCATGAACTGCATTTCTATCTTCACGAGCTCAAAGTTTCATTCATTTAGCTACGTTGTTTTAACCGGGTTTAATAAAAATAAAATATTTTCCAGCCCCATTTCGCATGGATGCGAAAATAAAAAAAATAGAGTTTTTTTGTTCATAGGCCGTTCATGTCTGAAATAATTAAACTAGTTTTACCTCATCGTTTCTATGTTTCCATTCCGACTCAAAATATTCTGAGTTGAATCTTCTGAATTTCTTCGAGTTGGTGGACCTAAAAATGACGAAAACGTGTGATTTCACTTTTCATTTGATCTTCATAAGAAAGTGAAATCAAAACTACGACTTTCTACCGATGCAAAATGTGGCATCAGTTGATGCTAGGCGTGTCGCATGGCGCGCGTTCAACGGCAATTCGGTCACGGCAATAAAATTTCGTGCCCATGGAAAATATTGACACGCGGTCACAACTCAACGTCGACCTAAAGCTTCAACCAAGGCAACTTTAGAAATTTGAAATTTGTAACTTAAAACAAAAATTTAATTTAGCAACGAAGGGATTACAGATCTACTCGATCATGTGTCATCTTCTTTACTGGTACTTAAAAAAAATAAAAAAAATTTGCAATATAATATCAACGAAGTGACTACAGATCTACTCGATCATGTGTCCTCTTATTTACTGGTACATAAAAAAATAAAAAAAAAATTTGCAATATAATATCAAGGAGGTGATTACAGATCTACTCGATAATGTGTCATCTTCTTTACTGGTACTTAAAAAAATAAAAAAGTTTTCAATAAAATTTCATACCCATGGAAAATACTGACTCGCTGTCTGAACTCAACGCCGACCTAAAGCTTCAACCAAGGCAAGTTTAAAAATGCAAAATATGTAACTTTTCAAAAAAATAAACTTTAGCTTATCAACGAAGTGATTACAGGTCTACTCGATCATGTGTCGTCTTATTTACTGCATGGTACTTGTTCTTCGGTCTGAAATGTTTTGCTAATATTAAGACATTAACATAAAATATGAAACATTTATAAATATAGTGGGAATGATGCTATTTTTCAAAGTATCATGTGTTACTTTATCCTATATTGAACTATCATATTGTTTTGTTTAATACAATTAGGAGGTGCATGCAAGTCGTACGGAGTTCCAAAGAAACTTTAATGCCTCGATTTAATCAGCATTTTATTACATCTAACAATCAACATTAGACGTTCCTAATAAGGCTGATGACCTATATCAGGATATTTATTCAACATGAGTGAGGCTTAATAGTAATTTGCACTGATCTAATGCACACTTTCACATTAAATTTATACCTTCCAATAAAATTGTTACCTTTATACATTTTATCGAGCTTGAACATTTACTGAAAGAGACAGATATTATTAATATTTAATAAATTCAGTCGATACTTGAACATAATCAGGATCGAATATCATGAAAATACATTGCAAAGAACATTTTGTGCATTAATAGCATCGGATATTCTGAGTATAAGGCGCATTGAATTCTCTGTGAATTAATAGCATCGAATACATTGAGTATAAATACCTTTAAATTTTCTCTGCATAAAAAGCATCTAACATTCTTTCCATAAATAGCGTCGAATATTCTGTGCCTAAATGGCATCGAATGTTCTGAAAAGTTCATTATCTTAGGCTGAAATTTGCTACATATTGAGGCGTTAAACTTGCCCTATACTCAGCGGTACAGCTTAGCGATAAGCATGCCTAAACTGAGATGAAAGTTTTTCAAAGTTTACATTCAATTTTGATTAGTTTTCAGTTTAGAAAATGAAAGTGTCTAACATTCAGTGAAGTTTATCCAAAGTTTACGTTCTAACTTGATCAGTTTTCCTATTCATGAAATGTTCATATGTCTTACATGATGCGGAGGAATGTCGTAGATTAGGTTAGGTTAGGATAGGTTAGGTTAAGTTAGGTTAGGTTCAATCTTGACCAGTTTTTCGGCTCGAGAAATAAACATGTCTTGCATGATGTGAGGAATTTCATAGTTAAGGTTAAGTTAAGTTAGATTAGGTTCAATCTTGATCAGTTTTTCGGCTGAGTATATAAACATGCCTTACGTGATGTGGAGGTATGTCATATTTTATGTTAGGTTAGATTCAATCTTGATCAGTTTTTCGGCTCAAGAACCAAACTTGCATAGGCTTCTTCGCGCCTTTCATGACGACTTCCCCTCGAGAGGTGAACTCGAATTCAGGGTCGTAGTTGACGTCCATTTGGAAATGCCTGGAAAATTTGATGAATTTTGAATTATTTTATCACAAGAAACGAAACCAATGCAGAATTATAGCATAGAGTAATTAGAATTAGATGGCAGTATCTAATTCTAAGTACTTTTAATCTACCAACGTCAATTGATCGACTCCCTGAAAACTGTAATCAAATGCATTCTCTGATTATTAATCGAACTTGCATCACGTAATTATCTTGTAACTTAATTGATCTTGAAAACAAATGCATATCGACTATAATTATAATCTTCGAATATACTCTATTTGCACCCAAATCGATAATAGTATTTGTATGCAATAAAGTTGTTTTTGTCTACTCCTGAAACATTTTCTAGAGATCTATAGATGAAACGCACGCAATGGTATTTAATTTAGTGACAATGTACTAAAAAATGTAAAATTTATTTTGTTAAATGTATTAAAATAAAATTAGAATTTCATTGTACATGTGTAACATCAGAGACACTGGATTCTTTAGAAGTGTTGTCTTTAAAAAACAATTTTTAAACGCATATTATTATGAATTATCTCGCGAGCGCAATGCGCATAGCCTATCATTATCGGGGGTGACTCGAAAAGATCAGAAAAATTGATCTAAACTAGATAAAAATAAAAATAAAATAAAATGATATTATAGAAATTTAAGAATAATTATATCTTCTCAGTCACCATGGACTAAAGGCACTTCAGTAGGAAAGATAATGGCTTGAATTTACAAGATGTTTTATCCAAAATAATAATTTTTTTAAACTCTCTCAATGGTGTAATAAATTGAATAAATATTATTTCCGGTTAGTAGAAAGAAAAAATAATCCTAAAATATTAAACTGTAAAATGCGTTTATATATTTTATGAATATTTTTGAACATTGGATAGGATATCTCTATCTAATATGCATAAAATACTTCAACTTTTGGATGTACTAACAACATACTAACAATATCTTTCCTTATTTTCATAAAAGTTATAACTACATTGACTTGAGAGCGTCATCGGAATAATTTACCTTGCCTTTCTCTCCCTTGATCTCAGTGCGGCCGGTGAACATTTTTTAAAAATTGAAAATTATGAAATTCTATCTAACATCCATATATACAGAGTTTAAGCAAACGGACATTAAACAAAAGGACAAAACGGACAAAAGTTTAAGCAAAAGTTTAAGCAAACGGAAGAACAAGAAAGACATATACATTTTTAAATATAGAAAATTACGAACTTCATATAATATTCATAAAAAGTTTAAGTAAACGCACCTGTAAGCGTCATCGGACACCTTGATTCTGCCTTTCTCCTTCTTGGTCTCAGTGTGGCAAATGTATGCATTTTTTAAATATAGAAAATTCCGAAATTCATCTAATATTCACAAAAGCAAACCGACCTGTAGGCGTCATCGGACACGTTGACTCTGCCCTTCTCGCCGGTGGTCTCAGTTCGGCTGGTGAGGTTGACTGTGTTACCGAAGAGGCAGTAGCGCGGCATGCGCTGGCCTATAACCCCGGTCACCACTTCGCCGGAGTGAATGCCTACGGTGATGCGCTGCAAGACGATGCAAACATCATTAACTACAGTGAATAATTTGTAATATGTTTTGAAATTTGGTAGTGAGTGAAGTAATTCATTGTTACGTTGGATAGAGCTGGCCCCCGCTCACCACTCTCACTCACCACTCACTCATCACTCACTCACCACTCACTCACCACTCACTCACCACTCACTCTCATGTCACCACTCACTCACCACTCACTCACCACTCACCACAGGCTCGCCGTCCACCATCACTGAGGCGGCCAGGTCCATCATGTCGAGCGCCAGGCGGCCGATGCAGCGCGCGTGGAACTCGCAGGGCTCAGGCAGGCCGCTAACGGCCATGTACTTGTCGCCCACCGTCTCCACCTGCCGTACACGGCGACGTGCGGCCGAGGGACGGGCGAATTACGGCCAAGGAGTGAGCATAGATTAAAAACAAAATAAAACTAAGCAAAATAAAGTCACAAGCATTTGATAAGTGCAAGCCCTGAAATGCCGCGTGTACGGCCACGGTGCGGTTGGAGTACGCCCGAAAAGCGAGTGGAATATGGCCAAGGGTCGAGTGGAGTACGGCCAAGGGACGGGCGAATTACGGCCAAGGAATGAGCGGTGTACGGCCAAGGTGCGGTTGGAGTACGGCCAAAGGGGGGCGACACGGAGAACAGAAAAACGGGATTGGAACATTATTAATACACAAATGACAGAAAATATTGTTAGGAATATTCATTTGATAAGCAAGATCCGAGATATTCCTATCTAGGTTATCAAAATTTTCCTTATGCAATAACAAGATCCAGAATCTAGAATCTAGAAATGAAAAAAAAAAATCCCAAATGAACGGAGAAAAATGTAACACGAAAATTTATAGATTTTTAGCTAGCTACAATAATAAATTGATATAACTTTGCTTGAGTGATACATCAATAACGATAACACAATTTGTAAATTTTATCTTTAAGCCAAATTTATCATGAAGTTAAATTGAATGGAAGAAAATCTTGAATTCATTTGCCCCACAACGCGACGTCGAACTTGTTACGATAACCAAAAAGAGCCTCAAACAGGCTGGCTAAGTCTACCATGAGCCTCAAAGAGGAGCTCTACCACTACCATGAGCCTCAAAGAGGAGCTCTACCACTACCATGAGCCTCAAAGAGGAGCTCTACCACTGCCATGAGCCTCAAAGAGGAGCTCTACCACTACCATGAGCCTCAAAGAGGAGCTCTACCACTGCCATGAGCCTCAAAGAGGAGCTCTACCACTACCATATGAGCCTCATAGAGGAGCTCTACCACTAGCATGAGCCTCATAGCGCCTGGCGATGTATAGCACAAGCCTCAAAGAGGCTAGCTACGTCTGCCATCAGCCTCATGATCCTTACAGCCGCAGTCGCGACACCTTAGAGCGGTTGGGATTGCGGCTGGAGTCTAGTCACCTTATAGGCGCTGGGGTTGCGGCTGGGGTCTAGTCACCTTATAGACGCTGGGGTTGCGGCTGGGGTCTAGTCACCTTATAGACGCTGGGGTTGCGGCTGGGGTCTAGTCACCTTATAGACGTTGGGGTTGCGGCTGGGGTCTAGACCTGTCTCTTATACACATCTAGATGTGTATAAGAGACAGGCTTCCCTCAGACATGGCTACCTGCTTCCCTTATACATGGCTACCTGCTTCCCTCAGACATGGCTACCTGCTTCCCTCAGACATGGCTACCTGCTTCCCTCAGACATGGCTACCTGCTTCCCTCAGACATGGCTGACCACTTTAACAGACATGACAACAGCCTCCATCAAGTACAGTTAAATATATACCAAAGCCTTGGCTAACCATTTCCTCAGACCTGGTCAATAATAATAATTGCGAGACGCACGCAGTAATATGCACGTTGCATATGTTTAACTCAATTTATTCATTGATGTTGAGCGTTCGAAAAAAAAATAAATAAAATATAATCGAAATTGATTTCATTGGCATAATCTAGCACTACAACACATAGAATACAAATTCATTTTTTTCGGTTCAAATATACAATGATAATATTATTGCTTCATTACTTCGTTAAAAAACATGTCAGGTTATTTTCCTTATATTTTTATCAATGATTATTTTATAATTATAACAGGTGCCAGAACCATAAATTCATAATTTAAACATTTTAAGATAACGCCCGGGCACTAAAATTGTTTCTCGAGAAATACTTCATCTTCATCTTAACACTACATAGGCAGACCAACTATATCTTGTGTTTACTGCATTATATCAATACATCGAGGCAAAACATGCTACAGCATGATTAATTATTTGAAAAAATATAACTCAGTACTCACTGAAGTGAGTGATAGAGAGCGCATTTTCTCGTCGACGAAAACGTGATGTCACGGACAGACAGACAGACAGACAGACTGTCTAGTCACCTTATAGACGTTGGGGTTGCGGCTGGGGTCTAGTCACCTTATAGACGTTGGGGTTGCGGCTGGAGTCTAGTCACCTTATAGACGTTGGAGTTGCGGCTGGGGTCTAGTCACCTTATAGACGTTGGGGTTGCGGCTGGGGTCGGTGAGGATATCGAAGGCGGTGTAGATGTCGTTCAACATCTTGACGATGAGCGACGCGCCCGCCAAGTCTGAATGTCGCTGGCAGTAGTCGGAGAAACCCACCACGCCTGCCGTTATTCTTCTTTTATGTTGTTGACATAAAACGCATGGTAATAGTATCTATTACTAAACTTTATATTACTATTACAATAGTAATAGTAAAAGAAAGAATTAAAAAGAAGAGAAAGAAGTAATAGAATAGAATAGAATAGAAGTGTCGGCGCCGAAGAAACAGGCCCATGGCATATTTCTTCTAATAGAGAAGAAAGATGTAATAGAAAGAAATGAGTATGAGTATTCTTATTAATAATTAGAGTGCTGGTGATGGTAATGGAAATGGTGATGATGATAGTGATGGGAATGGTAATTGTGCTAGTGATGCTAATGGCAATAATTGTGTACATGACTGCGTTGGATCGATGATTGTAGACATCGCAGAATTTTTGAAACATGCTGGGCTTTCGAACCAGCTACTCACTCAAATAATATGTCGTGATAAGAAAGTAAATATGGAATGGCATTTTTAGCGCGTATAAGGCTGTTATGGCCGCTGTTCACCTGAGAATGACTTGGCTAGCGCATATAAGGCTGTTATGGCCGCTGTTCACCTGAGATTGACTTGGCTAGCACATATAAGGCTGTTATGGCCGCTGTTCACCTGAGAAGAGTAACGTCACCACAGGATAACGTTTGGGAGGCACGGGCCTTTTATGGCGCAACTCATTGGCCACGCTCAGGGGCAGTACGGAGTACAACAACCTGAAGGTAGAAATAAATGCCAAGATACGTACAATCAAAGCTTGCTTTATTTGATTTTACATCACCTACTCTGTTCAACAAATTCGACATTCGCTCTCGCGGCACAACTTATTGCGGTGTATCTGACCAAAAAACAGTCAAGAACATGCGAACTGACAAAAATCCTGTGTGAGTTGTGATTCAAAATTCGAATTGGAGAGTGAATTGTTTTTTTTTGTCAGGCTTCACTCGCAATGTCAAAAAAGTGGGAGGGAAAATTGTAATGAGAATTGATAACCGGAACAATTGAATAGGTCGCCACTTCTAAGTTGAAAGCCTAACATTCATTAGTTAACTCCCTGGCGCAGCTATCATCGGCACCAGTAATCCAATCGATCAGTTTTGATTTAAGTCCTTGAATTCAATTCATTGAATTAAGTCATTGAATTCATCTGATATCCTATTTGCATTTTAAAATAACATTCTGTCATACGTCTACACTCTACGGTCTACAGTATGACGGAATCATTCACGAACCTGTCAGTTTTCTGCTTCTCGCTGTCCAGTTGTCGATAGGTTTGCTGAAGTTTATCAGTGAGCAGTTCAAGCTTGGTAGTTAGGTTGTACTCTGCCTCGAACTGTTCATTGAGTAGCACCAGATCTCTGGTAGCGTCATGCAGGGGTATGTCCGAGAGATACAAACCCAGACGGTACAAATCATCCAAGTTTACGACTGATGGCGAGCAAATGAACATCATCAGGTCGTTTTCAGGAATGTGGATCATTTGGCCCTGAAAAATATTATATGTGATCATTTTCTGAATGTTATCGTTCCACATTCGATCAGATCATAACGATTTCAAGTTAAAAATTAAAAAAAATTAAATTATAGTAGAGGAAGATGTGTCGTTACCAAGTTTAGAATAAGATATAAAAACTGAAGTTCATTTATATATTGCATGAAACTCATATGTGTACTTTAAGTTTAAGCTATATCTGATGTTTCAATCTATTTAATTGATATAGTTGCCAAGAAGTAGCAAATTGTAGCGTAACTGAAAATAAACTTTGAGCCCACTCTAAATAATAAAGTTTTGTTTCTTTAGAGATGTATGACTCCAAACCTTAAGCCTGAGCAGTCCCTGTTCCGGTCCACTTTCCCCTCCTTCATCCCTGAGCTGGATGAGGCCAGGCTTGGTGCGCAGCACGTATATGGTGTTGATGTGTGAGATGATGTGGTCGAAAGTCAACTCCATGGGCGGCCGCACCTGATGGAACCGTGTTAATCGTCAGCATGTGCGATATTATGTGGCTTAAGTCAACTCCAAGGGCGGCCGCACCTGATGGAACCGTGTTAATCGTCAGCATGTGCGATATTATGTGGCTTAAGTCAACTCCAAGGGCGGCCGCACCTGATGGAACCGTGTTAATCGTTAGCATGGGCGAACTTACGTGGCCTTAACCCTCTACCGCCTTATTTCACTCTCCTGGAACATAACTTTCAACCTAAATTTTACGTAAGCCATTGAGTGTAGCAACCTGAGGACGTTTGTACGCAACAGAGAACATTTTAAAGTTGTCGTACGTGGCGGCAACCATCAGTGCAAGTCACTTTGCGTTCACTAGAACGTATCCTTTTTGGGAAGTAGGCGCGTGACATATTGCTCCGGTTATAGATCATATCTGGCTGTGGAGGGTTAAGTCAACTCCATGCGCGGCTGCCTCTGTGTTATCAGCATCTCTTGCGGATAGCTCGTTTCATAATATTTTACAAATATTATCTGTAATTATCTACAATAGGCCAGATAATAAATTTTCATACAAAGTTCCTCCCATGTGCATACAAAAACTAAATTCTAGTGAGGAATCAAATGCGCTGCAAAATTTCGGGCATTTTAAATAGCCGTGCACAATTCGTGCATATAAGATTAAGCTCTCATAATATTAAAAAATTCTGGTGTAATATTCTGGGTGGCGAAAGTGCGATGTCATGTTAGTCAGAGTCCTTTTACGATCTAGTTAAACACATCAATGCGCAAGAATAAAGTTAGCTGATTCATTCACCAATTCGAAATATTCATTGATGGAGAGATCTTTTGCGCTCCACACGTCGAAGAGTTCGTTGATGGGAGAAATATGTTTTGCTCATCACGTCGCAGAGTTTGTTGAAGAAGAGACCAATTTTGCTCACTACGTTGAAGAGTTCAATTAGAGATCAGTTTTGCTCACCACGTCGATGAGTTCGCTGAATTAGTGACCAGCTTTGTTCACTACGTCGACAAGTTTGTTGTAGAAGGTTTTGCTCATCGCGTCGAAGAGTTCGTTGAATTAGAGACCAGTTATGCTCACCACGTCGAAGAGTTCGTTGAATTAGAGACCAGTTATGCTCACCACGTCGAAGAGTTCGTTGATGGAGAGACCTCTGCCCATAAGTCCAGGCAAGATACGCGCAATGGACACCCCGGCTTGCACCACCTGCAGGTCGCGGTCGAAAATCAGGTGGAAGGGACACACTTGGCAGAAGGTGCGTGGCGAGATCTTCGGTTCTGACGGCACAATAAAAGAAATAATTTTGGTGAAATATTGACGGACAATATCATCAGCTTAGTGTGATAGTAGCATGGAAGGTTACTGAAATTCATTACCAATAATTTTAAGTAACAGAATTCTGTTAAATGTTCGAAGAGCCGTTTTGAAAACGAAAGAATTATGTTAGTATAAAATTGTGAAGCCATGCTGGTTGTAGCAGTAAGACTAAGAAACACTGAAATAACTGCCATATTTATTCCTCCTATTTAAGATGAGAACAACATCGATGGCTCGATGATGGCATACGCCTGATGTTCAAAAGTTATTACTACTTTTAGTTTGATTAAATTAAAATATCGAGAATTGAGCACCTGAAGGCATTATATCCATTGTTGTCAATTCCTGCGGCCTTACACCCGTCTTGTTGCCGCCCTTCTCCCTGATCAGGAACTGCACGTGGTCAGCTTCCTCCTTAGTCTTGAGGATCTCAACCTCGACCTCTGCACCGTGCAGAGACGCTGCTACCGCCTGACAATAAATTCATAAATTAACAAGCGTGTACATCTCTATAATATATACAGCTGCTCAAATTAACGAGAGTGTGCTTGTTTATAATAGATACTGCTGCTCAAATTAACGAGAGTGTACATGTTTATAATAGATAAAGCTGCTCAAATTAACGAGAGCGTACATGTTTATAATAGATACAGCTGCTCAAATTAATGAGAGTGTAATCTCTAAAATAGATACAGCTGCTCAAATTAATGAGAGTGTACATGTTTATAATAGATACAGCTGCTCAAATTAATGAGAGTGTATGTACATGTTTATAATAGATAAAGCTGCTCAAATTAACGAGAGTGTACATGTTTATAATAGATACAGCTGCTCAAATTAACCAGAGTATATTTATTAATAACTGATAGAATGGTTCAATAAAATTTATTTATCTGTTTTCATTCCCTTGCCACAGGAACGCTGAATTGTCACGCGCTTCTGCTTGACGCTTTTGGCTTAGAAGTTATTTTATTTACTTTGACTAGATTTGCGATTTCTACTTCGCATTTTTGCAGTTATTAACAAAATTAAACGAACAAAGATGTCAGCGACGCTCCAAATTCGTTGAAAAAGAATGAAGATTTTATATGTATCGTCTCACGCCTGTAGTCATGTCATATTAGCGTCGCTGATAGGCCATTTAAGGAGGGCAATAAAATTTTGTTTATTTGCTCGTAAATCCAGCGCGTTTTAAAGCAGGGGAATCAAATTTTTAGTACCCACATTACGAGGGTAAAATATTCGAAAACTTTGGAGAAATTGCTAAAGCTCGTGCCGGGTTATAGAGTAGGCTAGCTCCAAAGAAAGATGGAGACGGAAACTTTCTGGTGATGCCGATTAATTAGAAATAACAATTTCAGCAGAAATTACAATTTATTTGATAAACAGCATATTGAACATTAATTAAGAATAAAATTTAACAATTTATTTATTTTAATTTAATTTATTGAAAGTACGATGAATTTACTTGTAATTAATTACTTTTCTTGATTAATATCAAGTGAATGTTTATTTTTCTTCGTATTTAGACAATATCAATAAAAACATAAATCGAGTTACGATCATTAAATTGAATTATTGCATAAAAAAATAAATTAACTGTCTGAGACAGCTGTCCAAAACAATTTTATGGCCTGACTGACTCAAAAATTAAGACTTCATTAATTTTTCTGTTATTAAAAAAACATCTGATCCTTTTTAGAAAGTTACAGCCTAATTATCATAAACCAATGAGTTTTTCAAAAGACACAAATTCTTCTAACGACCTGCCACTATTTCTACTTTAAATAACTTATATCCCAACAGTAATATTATGAAATTCCCTATTTGTCATGTCCATCATTAAACATAAAATAAATAATTCATATCATCAGCGATCATAATTTTTACCATAATAAAAAGTTATTCATACCAATGAAAGATCATTATTGGTACTTCTATTCAAATCTCACTTTGATGATGTATCACTCGCCTCACCTTGACTCACCATCACCTAACTCACCTTGACTCACCATCACCTAACTCACCTTCACGATGCCAATAACAATGTACTCACCTTGACTCACCATCATTGTACTCACCTTAACAATGCCAATAACAATGTACTCACCTTGACGATGCCAATAACAATGTACTCACCTAGACGATGCCAATAACAATGTACTCACCTTGACTCACCATCATTGTACTCACTTTAACAATGCCAATAACAATGTACTCACCTTGCCGATGCCAATATCAATGTACCCACCTTGACGATGCCAATAACAATGTACTCACCTTGACGATGCCAATAACAATGTACTCACCTTGACGATGCCAATAACAATGTACTCGAGCCCCGGGCGGTTGGAGTAATAGTGCAGCACCAGCGCGCCGTCCTCCTCCCTGTCCGTGCAGCGGAAGCTCGGCGCCTTCATGCCGGGGTACATGAGAGCGAGGTGGTCGTGTAGCGCGTCCAGGTTCTTCATATTAAGAATATTATTCATTAAATATGAAGAACATGTGATAAGTTATACCTACGTCAACTGTTAACAGGTTCTAAATAGATAATATTTGATGCAGTTAAGTCTACGGCAACTGTTACCAGGTTTCCAATAGATAATATTTGACGCAGTCACGTCTAAGGCAACTGTTACCTGGTGTTCAACAGAGTAAACATACATAATGCGTAAAACTTTACAGCAACTGTTACAAAGTTCTCAACAGAATGTGTTAAAGGCAAAAACTGCGCGGCGACAGTTACCAGGTTCTCCATTTTAATATGATATCCTAATTAATTCACAACTCTTACATAGTTCTGGATGGGAGATACCTAATTTTATCAATAATCTACGACAACTATTACTAGGTTCTCAACGAAGTGTTACGAATGTATGCGGCAACTGTTACCAGGTTCTTAAAGAAGTATAAATCTCATGTATATATAAGGCATCAACTGACAAGGTTCTTAACCAAGAATGAGATGTATTAATATCTACGACAACTGTTATTCATTGATTTTTGCTAATGCAAATTTCATTTGTACCGAAATTTTTTTTTACAAATTTAACAACGTAAGCAATACCTGCAGGAAATCGCGAACGGTGGCCCCCAGAACCTGCAGGATCTTATCGTAGCCTGACTCCTGGCAGAACTCGAAGAAACATTTACCGAACATCTCCAGGATGACGTTCGCTGGAACACCTATGCGATATTATTGCATTAATTAATAATTTCGTTAGTGTTACTGTAAACATCAGATACGAATTTTAGTAAGATTTTAGCTGTCAGTTAGTAAGTATTGAAAAAGGAACACTGAATTTCAGGGACTTCATAAATTCATGAATTTTCAAATTTCAATTCGAAAATTATAAACTCTAAAATTTTCCTAATAATATGATTAAGATACCCCAAAATATAACGAATGAAATTTATCGCGTATTTATCTTACTAAGAGATAAATTGCAAGTTGAATGTACATTACATAAAGAGAAAAAACGCCGTTTTTAAACTACGCTAGATATTGAAGTGAAAGCTTGAGGGACACTTTTCGAGTCGAATTAGAACTCCACTAGAAAAGGCAATTTAATTAATCTAAATATATTTCAAGGTATCTCTAGAAAACGTTCTTGTGAATACTGAAAATAAAATATTTTAGTACAATTTTTGTTGGAAACTTTAACTAACAGAGGACTTTGTAGGGAATTGAGTACAATGGAATACAAAAATTTATATTGCCTCTTTAAAGGCGCAATTTGTATTTGTGAAGGTAATTTAATAATAATTAATAATGCTTATTATTAACCTTCAGATGTGAAACTAACTACTCATTAGTTTATTCAATAAAAACAATATTCTAACAAATTTCTGGATATTCTGAAATAATCTTCCATTTCCTCGACGACTCCAAATTTATCTATTCTTCACATGCGAATAAAAAGGTAATCTTTCCGTTTATTTTCTGATAAAACAATTTTAGCTCTACATTTGCATAAGAAAATAACTAATCGGCCGTTTGCATGTCAATAAAGATGCTAAATACCGAGCACTCTAGACGCTGCGCCGACGATGTTGTAGGAGATGCTGTCGGCGTAGATCACGCGGATCAGGAACGATCCTTCCATCTCGTAGCTCGCCTCCCGCCTGTACCATACGTACTATCAGTTAGCAGAGCGTTCACATCACGTACTATCAGTTAGCAGAGCGTTCACATTCGTACTATCAGTTAGCAGAGCGTTCTCATCAGGTTTTAACAGTTAGCAGAGCATTCACATCACGTTTTATCAGTTAGCAGAGCGTTCACACCATGTACTATCAGTTAGCAGAGCGTTAAAATCACGTACTATCAGTTAGCAGAGCGTTCACATTACGTACTATCAGTTAGCAGAGCGTTCACATCACGTACTATCAGTTAGCAGAGCGTTCACATCACGTACTGTCAGTTAGCAGAGCGTTCACATCACGTACTATCAGTTAGCAAAGCGTTCACATCACATAATATCAGTTAGCAGAGCGTTCACATCACATACTATTAATAACTATCAATAAGCAACTGCTTTCGATTGGTAGAGTCCATTACCTGCTAGACTGGCAATTGATTAGTAATTGATTGAGACACACGAATGCCAAGCAGGTGATGTGAGCAGTGAATTAGTTGTCTATTTTCAATTAGTAGTCAAGCGTCAATTAGTCTATACCGTCGCACATATGATGAGCCAAGAATTTTCAATTTATTCGTCAACATGCAATGCCGTCTTTTCAAGAATTATTTTTTTAATGATTTGCTGAGAAATATTTAATTAAATACATGGTTAATTTATGGACTACCGTGTAAATAAATTACGTCTAAAACAAGAGACGAAATAGAAGCTATCGTATTGGTGAGGCGATCGCAAAATATGGCATCCCTCCGCGCCATTCAATTGACCAACCACTGGCCGCATGTTCATACCTGAACGTGTTTGGCTCAATAAACCACAGACAATATATTCTAATGTTAATTTATTGAATTTATTTTGCTCTTTTCCATCATAAATATTTGTGATGGCTGTAGGTGTAACTCACTTGATGGTTTCCCATGTCTCCTGGCCGAAGTTGCGCACCACCAGCAGCTCGATGGCGTAGTTTACAAACCCGTACTTCAAACCATTAAAATTAACAAATTAGTGGTCATGTAATTAGTATTTACATCAGATTCCTTGATTATACATATTCGTTGATATTGAAGAAAGTTCGAGTTTTTAATAATATTTCTAATGTTTTGAATTATGGAGATATTACTAAATATGCGATGACTTTCATCATCAATTAATTCTGATAATCGACATGTTAATTCAATTTATTGTCCAATTTCAAAACCTAATTATAATAATAATTAACAATAATAATAAAATAAATAATATGTTAAGTGAACAAATTGAATGTGGTTCCGCTGCCAGAAATTCTACGGAAATATTAATGAACATTCCATTTACTATCCTATATACCTTGCACGATTATCCACTGTGATATTTTAAAAATAGTTACAAAATTTTGAGGAAAATATTCAGGTAAAAATTATCTGAATTATCTAGACTTGAATCAATCATAATGACATAGAAAATCATGACTTGATTAATCTTCACAGAAACGGAATACAATAAACTTTATAATTTTTTATCCTTTATAGTTCTTCAAAATGAAACAATAATTAATATATAAGTTCTCACCATTAATATAGCTTTCTTCTGTTATTCCGCAACACAAAGTAACCTCTTATTGAAACTTGCAGCTCAGGTTACGAACGCACTCTAGGAGAGGTGAAGTAATCAATAGGGACCACTTTGTACGTCCATCTTCCTTTTAGTCTGGCTTCACACTGCCGAGGGATGCTGCGGTGATGTTGTCGTACCCAATATTGCATGCATTTTCAAAAGACAGAATCACAATTATATGGGACGTTTTGTTTCAAGATCGTACAAGATTAAAGTTTAGAGCATTATTACTTTCAGTTTGAAATGAACATTACAAAATAAATGAACATGCTTGACATTGTGGTTACGAAATGATATAGATTGACAGTAATCGTACGTCTGGGCTGATGTTGAGGCGAGATAGCCACAACTGAGATGTTGGCCCTCAGCAGCACACGTACTTCACTCAGCTCCTTATGTCAGAATAAGCGACTCAAACACTTTCACTTGGTCGCTCTATATCACATAAAAGAATATTAAAAATTATTGTCCATTGCAGATCTAAAGTTATGTATAGCTTAAGAGAAAACTTGTTTAGAAAGATGATTTTTTTTGTATATGGTATCTTTGTAACGGACAATTCTTGTGAAAAAATTATTCTTTGTCTTGTTTATTACTCATTTGAATAAGTTAGAAATCATTAGGGATGTAAAAGTTAAAATTGAAATTCATATTTTTACTTCGATCGTTCCGCATCAAACTAATCCGTAACCTTCGAGTTAATCAGCATCGCAATCATCGTTTTTAAAACAAGAGATAAAAAGAAAAGATATGAAAGATAAGTCAAAGCTTCTCACGGATATCAGCAATGAAAAGCAATACATTAAAGCATTTATTGGAATATGACACAAATGATCTCCAATAATGGTCCAGAAACGGCAAATTTATTTACATAAATTATTTTTATGTAAAAAATTTATTTATAAATTATTTATATTTGTCCTAATCATACGATCATTGATCGTATGATTAGGACAAAGGGAAATATAATTATACTACGCGAAGAGTTCAGCGCGATGCGCGTGTCAATTTTCAATGAAATTATTCATAGACCAAAATGAGGGTTAAATCAACCACAGCAAGTCTTCTCAACGAATAATCAACACACGGATGAACTCAAATTCTTGTTTCTTTCATCCGAACTGTTGAACAACAAGGAAAAAATAGATATTTTTTTAATCTATTCAGATATATCGCGTTATGAATTTATCTGGCAACTTGGTACGATGGTTTTCAAATTTGGTTTAGCGATTGGTTTTGGAAATTTTCTTCGCTTTTTAATTTCTAACCAATTGGTGATTCAAGCAGTCGGTTGACATTGATAATGGTTTTACATATATAGCACGGAAAGCATTGACCGCAAAATACAACACTCTAATGTGAGGCAAATTAATCTGATGATCATGTATTTAATGGCTGTTAATGAATTTGAATGAATGTTAATGAATTTAATGTAATGATTTTAGACTTTGACCCAATTATCGACGATCAAATGTGATCAATGACTTGATGTTAAGTTTTTTTTCTAGATCTTCGTCCCATGTCAATTTCTTAAAACTCTAGCAGCTCTGCTAGTTATTGAGAAGCGATTTATTGAGTTATTGAAGTTTTTATGAATTATACGTCTAATGAAGACCAAAATATTTTATTCGTAAATTTAACAGGTAACCCTATGGTTTCTATTGTTATAGCGGCGTTGAAAAAGTGTCTATTTATGACCAATTGCGTAGTGCAGAATTTGTGGTGCGAAAAGAAAAATGTTCATTACGTATCTTGAAAAAATCTACATAAAAAATCAGCCTGTTGGTGACGCTGGTGCTCATGCCGATGGTGCTAGTGTCTGACGTCAGTGATGCTGGTGCTCATGCCGATGGTGCTATTATCTGACGTCAGTGATGCTGGTGCTCATGCCTGTTGTGCTAGTGTCTGACGTCAGTGATGCTGGTGTCTCACACAATGTCATAGCAAGGCGCATGTAACGAAATACATTGTATCACTGAATTATTGCAATGCCGTTGATACATAGGCAAACTTATTCATATTTTTCACGTTTCTGTTGCCAATACAATTGAAGTATGTGAATATATCTTCTTGGTATTTTCTTGCATTGGAAATGATGAATAAGATTAAAACAATTACGATTTTATACGCAGATTCCTGAACGAACCGTTACATGTTTCGATGAAAACTGTTCGAGAGGAATGTGAATAACGATAAAACTATTACAATAATTTGCACTCAATAAATATTTTTACTATTTAAGCAAGTGATTTTACTTAAATGCGTCAGAAAAATGTGTTCCAAAATGTTTAGAACCGCAGCCGTTTCCACGATTAAAAAAGAGTGGAAAAACCTAAACCAGTTTTCGGGACATAGCAGTTTCTGTCTCAGAAAATTCATTGGAAAACCTGCAGAACTTCTTTCCTCTTATTTTGCACGGTATTTTTTACACGACAGCACACGAGAGCGTCGCTGTATGGCTTCGCCGCTCTTCCTGTTTTAATTCCTCCGTTGTCAGCCCCTGTTTGCTGGCCGCTGTTAACAGCTCCAGGCAAGGCAGGTATAGACAAGCCTCCTGTTTACCGGCCGTCTAAATTACCTTAGAAAATTTGATGAAACTCACACGGCCGAGCGGGACCGTGTTTTAACAAGGAGGGTATCGGGTCCGACGGAGACGCGACTCCGAAACGATGGAGCTGGACTCCGAAACGATGGAGCTGGACTCCGAAACGTTTTCGTTAAAGATACGATGAATTTTTGTGGAGTTTTCTTTGCTTCTACGTTTTTAGTCTAACGGAGCTTTTTACCTATAAAAGAACGTCGTTAATGTTATTCACATTCCCTGAGAATGTTGGTAGATTTTTTACATGAGTGGGCGTATACAGCCAGGGCAAAAATCACTTAAAAAATGTTTTAGAATATTCGTCTAAATACCCTGAGTAATCAGTTATTAGAAGTTTCGATTTGAGGCTCTGTGAAATTATATTTTTTGCCAATTAAATTTTCCGTCGCATGTTTCCTCATAATAGGATCATAATACACAAATGAATATGTTTCTAACAAAATTTGTGTCGGCAAAATGGAAACTTTTTCATTCCTAGAAATAATGTTTGATTAATTAAGCCGTTCGTGCCGAGATCTTGATACCAAAAAATGTATAAAATCTTGCCGTTAAAGTTACGCAATCCTCGCCAAACTTTCGTTTAATGAAGGAGCCGACGGAGTGTAAGACCTGTGAATGATGGGTTCGACGTAGCATGGGTTCGACGTAGCATGGGTTCGACGTAGCATGGGTTCGACGTAGCATGAGTTCGACGTAGCATGGGTTCGACGTAGTGATTCAGCGTAAGGTCTGAAGGATTCAGCGTAAGATTTGAAAGATTCAGCGCAAGGCCTGAAAGATTCGGCGTAAGGTCTGAAGGATTCAGCGTATGGTTTGAAAGATTCAGCGTAAGGTCTGAAGGATTCAGCACAAGGCCTGAAAGATTCAGCGTAAGGTCTGAAAGATTCAGCGTAAGGTCTGAAAGATGCAGCGCAAGGTCTGAAGGATTCAGCGTAAGGCTTGAAAGATGCAGCGTTAGGTCTGAAAGATTCAGCGTAAGGTCTGAAGGATTCAGCGTAAGATTTGAAAGATTCCGCGCAAGGCCTGAAAGATTCAGCGTAAGGTCTGAAGGATTCAGCACAAGGCCTGAAAGATTCAGCGTAAGGTCTGAAAGATGCAGCGCAAGGTCTGAAGGATTCAGCGTAAGGCTTGAAAGATGCAGCGTAAGGTCAAAAGGATTCAGCGCAAGGTCTGAAGGATTCAGCGTAAGGTCTGAAAGATGCAGCGTAAGGTCTGAAGGATTCATCGTAAGGTCTGAAGGATTTGCCCAAATGGCAGAGTAGGTCTGACGGTGTGCAGGGCTATTGTAGAGAGGATCTAGTGGATTATTGTGAAACTTCAACTAGTAGGACACTACGGATGGATGGAATAGGATATCAACGGATGGAATAGGACACTAATAGTAGGAGACTACGGATGGAATAAGAAGAGGGACATCCACGAAGGCGCAGCTGTCATCCGTCCCGGTACTTCATCGCTACATCACCATCCGTCTTCTCCAAATCACCGCTGGACTTCACCCATAAAAGAGAAAATCTGCCTCTGACTGCTCTCAGAGCGTTGTCATCATTTGCGCTGCCCTGGTGCTTTTTCTTGGAATTTTTATTAGAAATCCGGACACCAATCGGACGCTCACAATTTAAAGCCGAATGTGGGTTTGGGTTTCAATACGCTTTCCGGGCCTATTTTCACGTTGTCTATAAAAAAATTTACACCCAACTAAGCTCGTCATTTCATTTACAACCTTGAAATACTAAGATTATTTTATGGTTTCATATGGCTTGCGCCGTGGTATCTACAGAGCCCTAAACTCGTCATTTTTTCCCCTTGATCTGTTGAAACAATTTCTTCACAACCTCACATAACCCAGAAAGAATTTCCTATTTCTCTCCTCCGTCTAAAACAATAGAAAGTTCATTTATTCATTTCAGTATTTGACTCACGTAATCGAAAGAACGTTTCCATGCTCACAAACACATAATTTAAACCGTGAATTTTCATCTTTCCCCCATCATTGAACATTAGAACCATTTGCCCGACACAGCATATTTTCTCTGCATGCAAATTGCCTGTTGAGAATGAGAAGATCTAATTAATGGCTTGGCTGAGCACCTGAAGTATAAGCAACCTTACCTCAGATGGAGTGCGGTCACACAATCAGATTAAAAAAAAAAAACATCGCGCCACATTATTTTTTGGTCATCTGTAACTTTGGCTATTTATTAAATCTCTGTCGCCAAAAATTCATGTTGTTACCGCGAGTTTATCGTATTTCAAAGATTCTATGTGTGGTTGATACTTTCGTAAAATGGAAATCTGTTCGTCTGTCTGAAATTCGGAAAAATTGTCTTCCACCACATTGGTCTATCGAAACACTTACGGTACATAGAACATTTTTAACCATTTGGGGGAACTTACATAGATTTGAGGACAAACCTTATTCAAACACGAGTTAATTTTCTCAATTTAAACATAAACTTGAAGAGAATGAGACATAATTTTCTC